GGGGCCTATCTGGCATACTGTGTGAGACCCCAATCTGCGGTGAGTATACATGAGTCATGCAGGGTTTAGAGTAGGGGAAAAAGAAAAACAAGTGAAGTAAAGCTACCAGAAACAATATATAAGTGGAGCTGTTACCGCTCATCGTTTAGTTCAATCAATGCCCCTGGGGGGTAATGCATAGCGTTCCAGTGTTGTGCCCATCTGCTCTCTGGCTTGAGGGCTTGCCCTGGGGTGCTCGGGGCCTGATCTGCCCATCGGGGCCCGATGGATCCTCCTCGCTGTCGTAAGAAAATTGTGTGAATAGGTTTGCTGGTTCCTCAGGCTTCCCGTGCTTGTCAGTTGGCTTGACTGCGGTTTTGCTTGTTTGCATGGGGTAGCAGTCCTCTCTCAGCGCTGATGCACGTTTTCTTGTGGGTGGGTAGCTTCGTTTTTGGCGCCTTTTATGGGTCTGCTTCTTCAGACTATTTGTGTCTCTCGGATGAGAGCAGGAGGGCAGTGCCACAGGTGTGTACCCGTCCGGGATCTGTGTGAGTGCTTGCCTTCCTCTCAGCTCGAGCCTCCTCCAGAAAGCTGCGAATATAGCCTCCAGCCTTGCTTTGATGTCAATCCCCTTGGCTGTGTCGTCATGCTTGATGGCAGTCTCCACCATTTTGTGGTCGGTTGGCTCCGCCTGAGGCTGCTGCCATTCAGCTCGGTCGGGCTCTCCTGGGACAGAGATAACCCCCATAGGTCCATGGGGGGGGATGAGGGCCTGTGTTCAAGATTGTATCCGTTGGTGGCGGCGGGGGAGCGGCCGTCCCTGATTGTAGGCCTTAAGCATCGCGCAGGTGAGTCCTGCAGGGTAGGCTGATTGTTTGGTGCCATTGTGTGCCCCTCGATATCACTTCGTGGTTTGTGACCCATTTGCGGCTTTTAAGGGCTGTCTGCGGCTTAGAGTCAGCAATATGTACCTGGCATAGCAGGAGCAACACACTCCTGCGTCCGCTCAGTTCAGCGGCCAGGCCACACCGGGAGCAATGTCGATCACCGCCGGGGGATCGACGGCGATCGGGTAAGTACATAATACTGTTATGATGGTTCAGGACCGTCACCGGTCCTCAAGGGGATTTTTCTGATGACGGTCTTGAACTGTCAGCGGTCAGGAAGGGGGTGAAAGGGGTAAATCTTTGTATATGCAGTGTTTCAAAGCAAAAATAAAAGTATATATATGATTTGTTCCCCAGGATTTCAGGTGACTTGTCATGTAGTATCGTGTTGCACTGCAACTAGCTCTAGGTCCTAGAGACAATATGTACCATCATGGTGAGATCTCTACTCCGCAGGAGCTTAATAAGAGTAATAATAATAACAATATCAACAACTCGTTAAAGTCTACAACTCCCAGCATTATCCGCTTACGTAGTACTTGTGATGTATCTGGGGATGATGGGAATTGTAGTCTCTGCCTAGGATGGAGACACAGAATGTGTGTTAATACATCTGCTGCAACATCTGAGCAGTGACCCCAGACCCAGCTCAGACCCCCTGTGATTGACATTTTCCAATGTAAGAGGACATAGAGAGTCTGGCAGCCCCTGGCTATAGGCAGCCCCTGGCTATAAGCACTGCCAATTAACCTTTTATAACTTGCAGGAAGGATGGGAAAGAGGATCAATAGGGGTGGACACATCGCCATCTCTTACAAAGCAGCGTACAGCTGTGTGAAACGTTCAATACAATCAGCTACAGACAGAAAAAGAAAAATTATATATAAAAATACAAAAAATCACAACAAAAATACAAATATGTTTTGCGAAAGCAACCTTCTTATTCAAAACATAAAGCCAAAAGCCGCAGGCTCCAGATGAGGTATTTCGGCTCCTTCGTGAAATGTTGTGAAATCTCTGACATTGTAGTTTAAAGAAACCTTACCGGGATTGTATTGCCATAGAGCTCCGTTATACTCCGATCCTAACTATAACGTCGCTCTGCCTGTATGTTATTCTACAAGCCTTTATCGGCTTACTATGCATCATCTTTACATCTATTTATTGTAGTCTTGGTTTGTTGTTGTTGCTAATTTGTAATTAATGTGTGTAATGTTTTAACAACTGGATACAATAAAGATTATTTTTATACATTTTGGTATGCTCCTATGTGCATTCTAGATTAGAGTTCTGTTATACTCTCAGACACACTAACAATACGCATCCCCTAATAAAAAGAGACACAATGATGGGAAATAGGGGGGATGGAATCACAGTAGGGACTGTACCTCCTAAATAGGGAAACTTGGGAGGTGTAATGACCATAGTGACACCTTGTTTTGGCAGTATAACATTCATTTTTAACCATGTCACCAAAATTAGGGCAGTGTAGTTACAACAAAGACAGAATGCGTATATGGGGATGGGGGTGGGGTGAGGGGGAGATGAGGCATCTGTAGTTTTGGTGGCAAAGGGCTTCTAAAAGAAAGGAAAGGTAAACAAAGACACGCTTTGTTCATTAATTTTACCCAAATGTAAGTATAGCAAATGACAACATCATAATTTAACCCATCATTATACATTTCTCTTTGAGTAAGGAAATATTTGGCTATTCCAAAAGCCATTTGTTTGTAGTGTATGCCACCTTGGCACGCAGAGAGTTTCAGCTGCTATTTCGTAATTTGGTAAATTTCAATTTGTTATTACACAACCACGTTTTGTCACTTCCCTTTTCCTAATTTTATAAAGACCTCATGTCACCCACTTCCACTAACACCCACTGACCCGTCTCTACCTAGAATTTCCCCAGGCCTCAGAGAGTGATTCTCCAGAACTGTTGTCTCATTCAACATTATCACTTTTAGATTGTAAGCTCACTTGTCATCTTATAAGGACTTTGTATGAAAGTGCTACAAATGCTAGGTCATAACTGCCAGCTGTCTTAGATCTGATAGGGGAGTCCTGACTTTGGGCCACTATGCTGCTTTTTTATGTGGTGTTGCCCTTTTGTACATACCTAAAAACACATTTCCCCATGTTGTCCAGTGAAATGAATGGCCCAACATAGAATGTGACGGCAGATAAGAACCATTCGGCCCATCTAGTCTGCCCAATTTTCTAAATACTTTCATTAGTCCCTGGCCTTATTTTATAGCTAGGATAACCTTATGCCTATCCCATGCATGCTTAAACTCCTTTACTGTGTTAACCTCTACCACTTCAGCTGGAAGGCTATTCCATGCATCCACTACCCTCTCAGTAAAGTAATACTTCCTGATATTATTTTTAAACCTTTGTCCCTCTAATTTAAGACTATGTCCTCTTGTTGTGGTAGTTTTTCTTCTTTTAAATATAGTCTCCTCCATTACTGTGTTGATTCCCTTTATGTATTTAAATGTTTCTATCATATCCCCTCTGTCTCGTCTTCCCTCCAAGCTATACATGTTAAGATCCTTTAACCTTTCCTTTTCTAACACTCCCAATTTCATAAGACAAATGATCCCCTATTTAACTATCATACGTCCATAAATCTATATAACTGTCTGTGGTGGAGATTACAGGAAGGATGCTGCCGTGCCATATGTAGAATTCATATGCTGAATGAGGGAATACGTTGTGTTGATCAGCTACTTGATTTCCCTCTTGCAGGATAGGAATGCTACATACCACATGTGTCACTAACAGACAGTCCTACATGGTTATTTACTAAAGTGGGAATTGTTGGGATTTTAATGCAGATTTCAAATTCAAGGCCAAAGTAGTGAACTGGAAAAATTCTCAAAGTCAGCCAAAGTTTCCAATTCAGCTACTCTGGCCTTAGATTTGAAATTCACTTTGAATTCACAGCTTAGTGAATAACCTTGTTCAGTAAAACTGAACTGAACTCCAGCTTGATGAAGACCTATTAATAGGTGGAAACGTTGCTTTGCCTTTCTGATCCAATGAATCTGCTGGTGCTTTAATTTGGTGAGTGCCTGAAGATTTCTTCCTGTTTTATTAGTCGTGTTTGGTTTTGCTGGTCGTGCTTCGGTGCAGCCAGTTTTAAGTGGCTTTTAGTGCGGTTCCTTTTCTTCCGTTTCAATAACCGACACTGGGCGAGTGTATGGGGCGCACGGCGCTCAGGCGTCTAAAGGTGTTGGAAGCCGAGAGGAGCCCTGTCACAGGGGGCTCAGGAGGAGGTGAACTGGCCACCTTAGGGCGCCCTTGTAACAGCGCTTATTCAGTAAGGTAGAGTAGGCACTTTCTAACCTGGATGGCAGGTGCCTACTCTGCCAATATACGTCAGGGGGAAGGAGAGGTGACAGGTAGTATTTCCTCACTCCTCTCTCCCTCGCTAGCCCTCTGTTATGCTATGACATAATTCCGGCCCTGGCATATTAACCAACGGGGAAGGAGTGAAGCTGCACGATTACAGCACAATCCAGGTAGAGGGCCCCACCACCTATCCCAAAAGGTAGGAAGACTGGATGGGCCTTTCAAAATAAAATGAATTTGTGAGAGTGTGCAAGAATGTGTGATTGTGTCTGTCAGTGAGTGTGTCTGTCAGTATGTATGTGTTTGTTAGTGAGTGTGTGTGTCTGTCAGTGAGTGTGTATCTGTCAGTATGTGTGTTTGTCAGGGATTGTGCGTAAGTCAGTGTGTGTGTCTTGTCTGTTAGTGACAGTGTGTATCTGTCAATGGGTATGCTTTAAATCAATGAGATTGTGTGTCTGTCATTAAGAGTGTGTCTATCAAGGCAAGTACAATTAATTGCAGATGGATGAGAGTCACTGAAATATCTTCACACTTCTTGAGCAACGTCTGCTATGCATTTAGCACAACATAAATAAGAACTATATTGTAAAATAATTAGATTTTTAATATTTTTAATTTAGGTTTGATAATTTTTCAATTTTTTATTGGCCATCGTTTAACTTATTGCATTTTTTTTTTGTACATTTTTCCAACATCATTCTTTATTCATGTAAGTTATGTGCAAACTAAAATGGAAAAAACAAACAAAAAAAAGACATATTAACCTTCAAAAACTGTGAGGTTTTATTTCATTCACGTTTATTAACGTGACATTACGTTTCAGGAAAAAAACAAAAACATGTACATAATTTTTTTCCCCCCTACTCTTGACAAAAGGCAGAGCTATCCAAGGTACCCTTATGCATGCACGTGAGTAGAGCGCTTCCGTTGGTTCCTGGCAGATGAAGCGCCAGGAGCTGAAGAGGACCTTGAGAAAGAAGATGCATACAAAGGACATTTTAAGTCAAGTAAAATCTACCTTCACCTGCCCTCCCTGGCCACTGGAATACAAGTGGAACAGTGACAGTCTGGGGTCTTTGCAAAATATGCAAAATACATAAATAAAATATCATTAAAAGATGAAGTGCTTTAGGGGTCTGTCGTAATCTCAGAATTGGGTATTATGAACCTGTTGAATTCCTGCAGAACCACAAGTCATAGATGATACACAACGATCCTCTTGTTAAACAGAACGATTTTCTGCATCCCGAACTGGGACACCAAACTCTGAAACTTGATCTGGAATGGAGAAAACAGTCTCACATATAATGAATTAAACCGGGTAAAACTGGGGCTTTATATCTGGCAGTGTTTAGGAGATACGGTCACAGTATGAGCAGTGTTTAGGAGATACGGTCACAGTGTGAGCAGTGTTTAGGAGATACGGTCACAGTATGAGCAGTGTTTAGGAGGTACAGTCACAGTATAAGCAGTGTTTAGGTGATACGGTCACAGTATGAGCAGTGTTTAGGAGATACGGTCACAGTGTGAGCAGTGTTTAGGAGATACTGTCACAGTATAAGCAGTGTTTAGGAGGTACAGTCACAGTATGAGCAGTGTTTAGGAGATACGGTCACAGTATGAGCAGTGTTTAGGAGATACGGTCACAGTGTGAGCAGTGTTTAGGAGATACGGTCACAGTATGAGCAGTGTTTAGGAGATACGGTCACAGTATGAGCAGTGTTTAGGTGATACGGTCACAGTATGAGCAGTGTTTAGGAGATACGGTCACAGTGTGAGCAGTGTTTAGGAGATACGGTCACAGTATGAGCAGTGTTTAGGAGGTACGGTCACAGTGTGAGCAGTGTTTAGGAGATACGGTCACAGTATGAGCAGTGTTTAGGTGATACGGTCACAGTATGAGCAGCGTTTAGGAGGTATGGTCACAGTGTGAGCAGTGTTTAGGAGATACGGTCACAGTATGAGCAGTGTTTAGGTGAGACGGTCACAGTATGAGCAGTGTTTAGGAGATACGGTCACAGTGTGAGCAGTGTTTAGGTGATACGGTTACAGTATGAGCAGTGTTTAGGAGGTACGGTCACAGTGTGAGCAGTGTTTAGGTGATAGGGTCACAGTATGAGCAGTGTTTAGGTGATACGGTCACAGTATAAGCAGTGTTTAGGTGATACGGTTACAGTATGAGCAGTGTTTAGGTGAGACGGTCACAGTATGAGCAGTGTTTAGGTGAGACGGTCACAGTATGAGCAGTGCGCAGGTTGTTTGTTTGGCTGGCTGGGCGTCTGCGCAGTGTGTGAGGCTGGCTGGGCGAGTGCGCAGTGTGTGAGGCTGGGCTGGCTGGGCTGGCTGGGCGCATGCACAGTGTGTGAGGCTGGGCTGGCTGGGGGCGTGCGTGAGGCTGGGCGGGCTGAGCGCGTGCGCAGTGTGTGAGGCTGGGCTGGCTGGGCGCGTGCACAGTGTGTGAGGCTGGCTGGGCGCGTGCGCAGTGTGTGAGGCTGGCTGGGCGCATATGCAGGTTGTTTGGCTGGGCGCCTGCGCAGTGTGTGAGGCTGGCTGGGCGCGTGCGCAGTGTGTGAGGCTGGGCTGGGTGCCTGCGCAGTGTGTGAGGCTGGGCTGAGTGTGTTCGCAGTGTGTGAGGCTGGGCTGGGCGCGTGCGCAGTGTGTGAGGCTGGCTGGGTGCGTGCGCAGTGTGTGAGGCTAGGTGCGTGTGCAGTGTGTAAGGCTGGGCTGGGCACGTGCGCAGTGTGTGAGGCTGGGCAGGCTGAGCGCGTGCGCAGTGTGTGAGGCTGGGCGCGTGCGCAGTGTGTGAGGCTGGGCGGGTGCACAGTGTGTGAGGCTGGGCCGGCTGAGCGCGTGTGCAGTGTGTGAGGCTGGGCGCGTGCACAGTGTGTGAGGCTGGGCGGGCTGAGCGCATGCGCAGTGTTTGAGGCTGGGCGCGTGCGCAGTGTGTGAGGCTGGCTGGGCACGTGCGCAGTGTGTGAGTCTGGGCTGAGCGTGTGCGCAGTGTGTGAGGCTGGGCGCGTGCGCAGTGTGTGAGGCTGGGATGGGCGCGTGCGCAGTGTGTGAGGCTGGGCTGGGCACCTGCGCAGTGTGTGAGGCTGAGCATGTTTGCAGTGTGTGAGGCTGGGCTGGGCGCGTGCGCAGTGTGTGAGGCTGGCTGGGCACGTGCACAGTGTGTGAGGCTAGGTGCATGTGCAGTGTGTAAGGCTGGGCTGGGCACGTGCGCAGTGTGTGAGGCTGGGCGGGCTGAGCGCGTGCACAGTGTGTGAGGCTGGGCTTGGCGTGTGCGCAGTGTGTTAGGCTGGGCTGGGCGCGTGCACAGTGTGTGAGGCTGGGCGGGCTGAGCGCATGCGCAGTGTGTGAGGCTGGGCGGGCTGAGCGCATGCACAGTGTGTGAGGCTGGGCGGGCTGAGCGCGTGCGCAGTGTTTGAGGCTGGGCGTGTGCGCAGTGTTTGAGGCTGGCTGGGTGCGTGCGCAGTGTGTGAGTCTAGGCTGAGCACGTGCGCAGTGTGTGAGGCTGGGCGCGTGCGCAGTGTGTGAGGCTTGGCTGGTTGGGCGCGTGCGCAGTGTGTGAGGCTGGGCTGGGCATGTGTGCGGATGGGCTGGGCGTGTGCGCAATGTGTGAGGCTGGGCTGGCTGAGCGCATGTGTAGTGTGTGAGGCTGGGCGTGTGCGCAGTGTGTGAGGCTGGGTGGGCGCATGCGCAGTCTGTGAGGCTGGGTGAGCGCGTGCGCAGTGTGTGAGGCTGGGCTGGCTGGGCGCGTGCGTGAGGCTGGGCGTGTGCACAGTGTGTGAGGCTCGGCGCGTGCGCAGTGTGGGGTAGGGAGATTACAGAGTGAATGATCAGGTCTCCCTACCCCCATACTGCGTATGCACGGTGTAATCCCGCGGTGTGGCTGATGGTGTTCTATCAAATTCCCCTACCTGGTGAAAATCCCCTACCCTCGTCACTTCCGGTGAGGGGAATCAGCTGGATCCTGTGCTGCACATGAATAGTGATTTTTCACACTTTATTTTAACCCTTACCCCAAGGGTTAGGGTAAGAATAGAGTGTGAGAGAGGTTAGAATCACTTACCTAACCCTAATTTGAACCCTCACTTAACCCTAAATGTCCCGTGTGCCTAAGCTTAGTGAATGCACTAACTATAATGAAAGTGTAAAACTAGCTTTACTTACCTTCCAGGACCTGGCTGTGTTACTTACCTTCCAGGACCTGGCTGTGTCGCTGTGTTACTTACCTTCCAGGACCTGGCTGTTTCACTGTGTTACTTACCTTCTAGGACCCGGCTGTGTTATTTACCTTCCAGGACCTTGCTGTGTTACTTACCTTCCAGGACCTGGCTGTGTCGCTGTGTTACTTGCCTTCCAGGACCTGGCTGTGTTACTTACCTTCCAGGACCTGGCTGTATCGCTGTGTTACTTGCCTTCCAGGACCTGGCTGTGTTACTTACCTTCCAGGACCTGGCTGTGTCGTTGTGTTACTTACCTTCCAGGACCTGGCTGTGTTACTTACCTTCCAGGACTTGGCTGTGCTACTTACCTTCCAGGACCTGGCTGTGTTAATGGCTGTGTTACTTACCTTCCAGGACCTGGCCGTGTTAATGGCTGTGTTACTTACCTTCCAGGACCTGGCCGTGTTACTGACCTTCCAGGACCTGGCTGTGTTACTTACCTTCCAGGGCCTGGCTGGGTTACTTACCTTCCAGGGCCTGGCTGTGTTTTTTACCTTCCAGGACTTGGCTGTGTTACTGGCTGTGTTACTTACCTTCCAGGACCTGGCTGTGTTAATGGCTGTGTTACTGACCTTCCAGGACCTTGCTGTGTTACTGTGTTACTTACCTTCCAGGACCTGGCTGTGTTAATGGCTGTGTTACTTACCTTCCAGGACCTGGCTGTGTTAATGGCTGTGTTACTTACCTTCCAGGACCTGGCTGTGTTAATGGCTGTGTTAGTTACCTTCCAGGACCTGGCTGTGTTACTGACCTTCAAGACCTGGCTGCTGGTACTTACCTTCAGGGCCTGGCTGGGTTACCCACGATTACCAGGGGTGGCTGTGTTCAATTACCTTCTAGGACTTGGCTGTGTTACTGGCTGTGTTACTTACCTTCAGGACCTAGCTGTGTTAATGGCTGTGTGTTACTTACCTTCCAGGACCTGACTACCGTGTTACTGACCTTCAGGACCTGGCTGGGACCACCTTCCAGGGCCTGGCTGGGTTACCCCACCTTCAGGGCCTGGCTGTGTTTACCTTCCAGGACTTGGCTGTGTTACTGGCTGTGTGCTACCTTGGGACTGGCTGTGTTAATGGCTGTGTTACTGACCTTCCATGACCTGGCTGTGTTACTGGCTGTGTAACTGACCTTCCAGGACCTGGCTGTGTTAATGGCTGTGTTATTTACCTTCCAGGACCTGGCTGTGTTAATGGCTGTGTTACTGACCTTCCAGGACCTGGCTGTGTTAATGGCTGTGTTACTGACCTTCCAGGACCTGGCTGTGTTAATGGCTGTGTTATTTACCTTCCAGGACCTGGCTGTGTTAATGGCTGTGTTACTTACCTTCCAGGACCTGGCCGTGTTACTGACCTTCCAAGACCTGGCTGTGTTACTTACCTTCCAGGGCCTGGCTGGGTTACTTACATTCCAGGGCCTGGCTGTGTTATTTACCTTCTAGGACTTGGCTGTGTTACTGGCTGTGTTACTTACCTTCCAGGACCTAGCTGTGTTAATGGCTGTGTTACTGACCTTCCAGGACCTTGCTGTGTTACTGTGTTGCTTACCTTCCAGGACCTGGCTGTGTTAATGGCTGTGTTACTTACCTTCCAGGACCTGGCTGTGTTAATGGCTGTGTTAATGGCTGTGTTACTGACCTTCCAGGACCTGGTTGTGTTAATGGCTGTGTTATTTACCTTCCAGGACCTGGCTGTGTTAATGGCTGTGTTAGTTACATTCCAGGACCTGGCTGTGTTACTGGCTGTGTTACTGACCTTCCAGGACCTGGCTGTGTTAATGGCTGTGTTACTTACCTTCCAGGACCTGGCTGTGTTACTTACCTTCCAGGACCTGGCTGTGTTAATGGCTGTGTTAGTTACCTTCCAGGACCTGGCTGTGTTACTGGCTGTGTTACTGACCTTCCAGGACCTGGCTGTGTTAATGGCTGTGTTACTTACCTTCCAGGACCTGGCTGTGTTACTGTGTTACTTACCTTCCAGGACCTGGCTGTGTTAATGGCTGTGTTATTTACCTTACAGTACCTGGCTGTGTTAATGGCTGTGTTACTTACCTTCCAGGACCTGGCTGTGTTAATGGCTGTGTTAGTTACCTTCCAGGACCTGGCTGTGTTACTGACCTTCCAGGACCTGGCTGTGTTAATGGCTGTGTTACTTACCTTCCAGGACCTTGCTGTGTTACTGTGTTACTTACCTTCCAGGACCTGGCTGTGTTACTTACCTTCCAGGACCTGGCTGTGTTAATGGCTGTGTTACTTACCTTCCAAGACCTGGCTGTGTTAATGGCTGTGTTACTTACCTTCCAGGACCTGGCTGTGTTACTGGCTGTGTTACTTACCTTTCAGGACCTGGCTGTGTTACTGGCTGTGTTACTTACCTTCCAGGACTTGGCTGTGTTACTTACCTTCCAAGACCTGGTTGTGTTAATGGCTGTGTTATTTACCTTCCAGGACCTGGCTGTGTTAATGGCTGTGTTACTTACCTTCCAGGACCTGTCTGTGTTACTGGCTGTGTTACTGACCTTCCAGGACCTGGCTGTGTTAATGGCTGTGTTACTTACCTTCCAGGACCTTGCTGTGTTACTGTGTTACTTACCTTCCAGGACCTGGCTGTGTTACTTACCTTCCAGGACCTGGCTGTGTTAATGGCTGTGTTATTTACCTTACAGGACCTGGCTGTGTTAATGGCTGTGTTACTTACCTTCCAGGACCTGGCTGTGTTAATGGCTGTGTTAGTTACCTTCCAGGACCTGGCTGTGTTACTGGCTGTGTTACTGACCTTCCAGGACCTGGCTGTGTTAATGGCTGTGTTACTTACCTTCCAGGACCTTGCTGTGTTACTGTGTTACTTACCTTCCAGGACCTGGCTGTGTTACTTGCCTTCCAAGACCTGGCTGTGTTAATGGCTGTGTTACTTACCTTCCAGGACCTGGCTGTGTTACTGGCTGTGTTACTTACCTTTCAGGAACTGGCTGTGTTACTGGCTGTGTTACTTACCTTCCAGGACTTGGCTGTGTTACTTACCTTCCAGGACCTGGCTGTGTTAATGGCTGTGTTACTTACCTTCCAGGACCTGCCCGTGTTACTTACCTTCCAGGACCTTGCTGTGTTAATGGCTGTGTTACTTACCTTCCAGGACCTGGCTGTGTTACTGACCTTCCAGGACCTGGCTGTGTTAATGGTTGTGTTACTTACCTTCCAGGACCTGGCTGTGCTACTTACCTTCCAGGACCTGGCTGTGTTAATGGCTGTGTTACTTACCTTCCAGGACCTTGCTGTGTTACTGGCTGTGTTACTGACCTTCCAGGACCTGCCGCTGTGTTAATGGCTGTGTTATTTACCTTCCAGGACCTGGCTGTGTTACTACCTTCCAGGACCCGGGTTGTGTTACTTACCTCCGGTGACCTGGCTGTGTTACTTTACCTTCCAGGACCCGGCTGTTACTTACCTTCCAGGACCCGCTGTGTTACTTACCTTCCAGACCTGGCTTTGCCGTTACTTACCTTCCAGGACCCGCTGTGTTACTTACCTTCCAGGACCCGCTGTGTTATTTCACCTTCCAGGACCCGCTGTGTTAATACCTTCCAGGTCTGGCTATGTTACTTCTACCTTCCAGACCCGTGTTACTGACCTTCCGCACCTGGCTGGCTGTGTTACTGGCTGTGTTACTGGCTGTGTTAATGGCTGTGTTAATGGCTGTGTTAGTGACCTTCCAGGACCCGGCTGTGTTAATGGCTGTGTTACTGACCTTCCAGGACCCGGCTGTGTTAATGGCTGTGTTACTGACCTTCCAGGACCCGGCTGTGTTAATGGCTGTGTTACTGACCTTCCAGGACCCGGCTGTGTTATTGACCTTCCAGGACCCGGCTGTGTTACTTACCTTCCAGGACCTGGCTGTGTTACTTACCTTCCAGGACCCGGCTGTGTTATTTACCTTCCAGGACCTGGCTGTGTTACTGTGTTACTTACCTTCCAGGACCTGGCTGTGTTAATGGCTGTGTTACTTACCCTCCAGGATCTGGCTGTGTTACTGACCTTCCAGGACCTGGCTGTGTTACTGGCTGTGTTAATGGCTGTGTTACTGACCTTCCAGGACCTGGCCGTGTTAATGGCTATGTTACTGACCTTCCAGGACCCGGCTGTGTTAATGGCTGTGTTACTGACCTTCCAGGACCCGGCTGTGTTAATGGCTGTGTTACTGACCTTCCAGGACCCGGCCGTGTTAATGGCTGTGTTACTGACCTTCCAGGACCCGGCTGTGTTAATGGCTGTGTTACTGACCTTCCAGGACCCGGCTGTGTTATTGACCTTCCAGGACCCGGCTGTGTTACTTACCTTCCAGGACCTGGCTGTGTTACTTACCTTCCAGGACCCGGCTGTGTTACTTACCTTCCAGGACCTGGCTGTGTTACTTACCTTCCAGGACCCGGCTGTGTTATTTACCTTCCAGGACCTGGCTGTGTTACTGTGTTACTTACCTTCCAGGACCTGGCTGTGTTAATGGCTGTGTTACTTAACCTCCAGGACCTGGCTGTGTTACTGACCTTCCAGGACCTGGCTGTGTTAATGGCTGTGTTACTGGCTGTGTTACTGGCTGTGTTAATGGCTGTGTTACTGACCTTCCAGGACCCGGCTGTGTTAATGGCTGTGTTACTGACCTTCCAGGACCCGGCTGTGTTAATGGCTGTGTTACTGACCTTCCAGGACCCGGCTGTGTTATTGACCTTCCAGGACCCGGCTGTGTTACTTACCTTCCAGGACCTGGCTGTGTTACTTACCTTCCAGGACCCGGCTGTGTTACTTACCTTCCAGGACCTGGCTGTGTTACTTACCTTCCAGGACCCGGCTGTGTTACTTACCTTCCAGGACCTGGCTGTGTTACTTACCTTCCAGGACCCGGCTGTGTTACTAACCTTCCAGGACCTGGCTGTGTTAATGGCTGTGTTACTGGCTGTGTTAATGGCTGTGTTACTGACCTTCCAGGACCCGGCTGTGTTAATGGCTGTGTTACTGACCTTCCAGGACCCGGCTGTGTTAATGGCTGTGTTACTGACCTTCCAGGACCCGGCTGTGTTATTGACCTTCCAGGACCCGGCTGTGTTACTTACCTTCCAGGACCCGGCTGTGTTACTTACCTTCCAGGACCCGGCTGTGTTACTTACCTTCCAGGACCTGGCTATGTTACTTACCTTCCAGGACCCGGCTGTGTTACTGACCTTCCAGGACCTGGCTGTGTTAATGGCTGTGTTACTGGCTGTGTTAATGGCTGTGTTACTGACCTTCCAGGACCCGGCTGTGTTAATGGCTGTGTTACTGACCTTCCAGGTCCCGGCTGTGTTAATGGCTGTGTTACTGACCTTCCAGGACCCGGCTGTGTTATTGACCTTCCAGGACCCGGCTGTGTTACTTACCTTCCAGGACCTGGCTGTGTTACTTACCTTCCAGGACCCGGCTGTGTTACTTACCTTCCAGGACCCGGCTGTGTTATTGACCTTCCAGGACCTGGCTGTGTTACCTACCTTCCAGGACCCGGCTGTGTTACTTACCTTCCAGGGCCTGGCTGTGTTATTGACCTTCCAGGACCCGGCTGTGTTACTGTGTTACTTACCTTCCAGGACCTGGCTGTGTTAATGGCTGTGTTACTTAACCTCCAGGACCTGGCTGTGTTACTGACCTTCCAGGACCTGGCTGTGTTAATGGCTGTGTTACTGGCTGTGTTACTGGCTGTGTTAATGGCTGTGTTACTGACCTTCCAGGACCCGGCTGTGTTAATGGCTGTGTTACTGACCTTCCAGGACCCGGCTGTGTTAATGGCTGTGTTACTGACCTTCCAGGACCCGGCTGTGTTAATGGCTGTGTTACTGACCTTCCAGGACCCGGCTGTGTTATTGACCTTCCAGGACCCGGCTGTGTTACTTACCTTCCAGGACCTGGCTGTGTTACTTACCTTCCAGGACCCGGCTGTGTTACTTACCTTCCAGGACCCGGCTGTGTTACTTACCTTCCAGGACCTGGCTGTGTTACTTACCTTCCAGGACCCGGCTGTGTTATTTACCTTCCAGGACCTGGCTGTGTTACTGTGTTACTTACCTTCCAGGACCTGGCTGTGTTAATGGCTGTGTTACTTAACCTCCAGGACCTGGCTGTGTTACTGACCTTCCAGGACCTGGCTGTGTTAATGGGTGTGTTACTGGCTGTGTTACTGGCTGTGTTAATGGCTGTGTTAGTGACCTTCCAGGACCCGGCTGTGTTAATGGCTGTGTTACTGACCTTCCAGGACCCGGCTGTGTTAATGGCTGTGTTACTGACCTTCCAGGACCCAGCTGTGTTATTGACCTTCCAGGACCCGGCTGTGTTACTTACCTTCCAGGACCTGGCTGTGTTACTTACCTTCCAGGACCCGGCTGTGTTACTTACCTTCCAGGACCCGGCTGTGTTACTTACCTTCCAGGACCTGGCTGTGTTACTTACCTTCCAGGACCCGGCTGTGTTACTTACCTTCCAGGACCTGGCTGTGTTACTTACCTTCCAGGACCCGGCTGTGTTACTAACCTTCCAGGACCTGGCTGTGTTAATGGCTGTGTTACTGGCTGTGTTAATGGCTGTGTTACTGACCTTCCAGGACCCGGCTGTGTTAATGGCTGTGTTACTGACCTTCCAGGACCCGGCTGTGTTAATGGCTGTGTTACTGACCTTCCAGGACCCGGCTGTGTTATTGACCTTCCAGGACCCGGCTGTGTTATTGACCTTCCAGGACCCGGCTGTGTTACTTACCTTCCAGGACCTGGCTGTGTTACTTACCTTCCAGGACCCGGCTGTGTTATTTACCTTCCAGGACCTGGCTGTGTTACTGTGTTACTTACCTTCCAGGACCTGGCTGTGTTAATGGCTGTGTTACTTACCCTCCAGGATCTGGCTGTGTTACTGACCTTCCAGGACCTGGCTGTGTTACTGGCTGTGTTAATGGCTGTGTTACTGACCTTCCAGGACCTGGCCGTGTTAATGGCTGTGTTACTGACCTTCCAGGACCCGGCTGTGTTAATGGCTGTGTTACTGACCTTCCAGGACCCGGCTGTGTTAATGGCTGTGTTACTGACCTTCCAGGACCCGGCTGTGTTAATGGCTGTGTTACTGACCTTCCAGGACCCGGCTGTGTTATTGACCTTCCAGGACCCGGCTGTGTTACTTACCTTCCAGGACCTGGCTGTGTTACTTACCTTCCAGGACCTGGCTGTGTTACTTACCTTCCAGGACCCGGCTGTGTTACTTACCTTCCAGGACCTGGCTGTGTTACTTACCTTCCAGGACCCGGCTGTGTTATTTACCTTCCAGGACCTGGCTGTGTTACTGTGTTACTTACCTTCCAGGACCTGGCTGTGTTAATGGCTGTGTTACTTACCCTCCAGGACCTGGCTGTGTTACTGACCTTCCAGGACCTGGCTGTGTTAATGTCTGTGTTACTGACCT